ACACAAAATTAAAAATAGCGCAACTCTAATTACTCTCTCAAGAGAGAGAAACTCTCAGTGGTAAATTGTGAATTGTGTTGGAAAACATTACCAAAGGTAGGAACAAAAAAGTACCTAAAATGCTACTTCATAATTTAATCGTAAATGTATTCACGAATAACAAAAAAATCTAATTTTTGTTTTGGTACGTTTATGTCAATTCGTACCTTTTGTGAACAAAAAGTACGCTTGTTACAAAATTAAAAATAGCGCAACTCTAATTACTCTCTTAAGAGAGAGAAACTCTCAACACCGATCCCGATCCCGACAAATATAAAACCACGCTTACCAAATATCGAGTCAGTCGTCTCTCAACTCTCGTTGACTTTAGACTACGTGCGCGCCGTTTCGCTTTCTTTTTTATGCGTTTTGTTTGTTTTGCTTTGAACACTAATACACACATTCCTTCCATCTTTTATTTGGTGATTTTGCTGAAATTTAATATTCCTAATTTCAACAGAATATACAATTTTCTGCGAAAATGGGTGATGAGGAGCCGCCTCCTCGTCTAGACCCGAGGAAAAGATTTGAGCTTTTTAGCAACCCTGGAAGCAAAAAGTTTAAAAATAATCAGCCTTCTATGCAAAATAAAATGCCGCAGTGCTCTGTAAAAACAACACCAGCAAAAGAAAACACCACTCTCACACCATATGAAAATCAATATTCTAATGATACAAAGTCCATCTCCACCAACACAACTAACAACAGTCACTCCAACAATAACAATCCCTCCGATCCATCCAATATACCCATAAACACAAACAAAACAGATATTTACAGCTATGATTATTATGAAAACCAAACAGTTCTTTACAGCCCATCCCATCCAGGTCCATATTATGTACTTCTTACTTCTGACGAGCCCATTTGCCCTAGAAGAAAGAACTCAGAACTACATTTGTATGCCAAATTAGCCAGTGCCAACATAAATGCTCATTTTGTATCAAAGAGTATTGCATATAAAACCTTCCGCCTGAGCTTCATAATTTTGTTTGGGTTCCAAATGTAAAATCTATTGGTTTGAATGATTTCATTCCAGATAGATTTGTACAAAAATTTTATGTTATTAAATCTGTACCAGTAGAATTCACTGGCAAAATGATATATGATCAAATCAACAGCAGCGACAATGATTTCAAAGCTATATCAGTATATCGTTTCAAATACAAAAACGAAAATGGACAGTATGTACCGTCGCAAACCATTAAAGTTGGTATTGTAGCGGACTACGTTGTAAAAGAACTAAAAATGTTCAACTCTATAGTGGAGACGGATTTATATATTCCACTTGTACGCTTATGTAAAAATTGCGGTCGTTTAGGTCATATAGCCGTAAAATGTAGAGCCAAAAAAGATGCCTTCTTTGCGGGATAAACATTGAATGTCCCATAAACTGTACAGAGCCAAAATGTGATACATGTTTGTCGACAATTAAATGCAAAACGTACTGCACTCTACCCAGATGTATACTATGCAACATGGAAGATCATAATGCCATGGATGTCAAAAAATGCAAAAGATACAGTAATGAAAAAAATATTCTGGATGAACCGAACTACGAAAATCAATTTCCCCAAATTTAGAGGACAAGCAGAAGATCAGTTACCTCCTTTAATGATGAACTCAACAGAAGGAGAACTAGAGTCAATTACAATAAAGTAGCAGCATCAATACCTCGTAGAGCACATATTACAGCTGAACAGGAAACGATTGTACCCTCTAAACCATCCTTTGAATTCTCAAATTTTTTTTCAAAGTTTCTGAGTATGAAAAAATATTATCCACTTTCACTCAACAAATGGCTGCCGCATTAACCAGTGCCATGTGTACAGAAGGATTACAGATCTTAGACAGTTTTTCAAATGCCTTAAAAGCACCAGTAATAGATGGACCTTCCAGTTCTAACCAAACCGAACATGATAATCTTACAGCACAACATACAAAGTTTGAATAAAAATAAAAATTATCTAGAACTTTACTTAAACAAATTTTCTGTCGATATTTGCATCTTAAGCGAAATTTTTAATGTAGATGAAAATGCATCATCATCTTACGTAAACAATTATGGATTATTCTGCAAAAAAAGAATCGACAATTATGGTGGCGTTGCCATCTTGCACAAAAAAACTATTAAAATGAAAAAATTACCTTTTGCATCGAACTTAGACATCTTAATATGTCAAACTACAAACCTGTCTCAAAATTTAACGATTGTATCAGTGTACTTTCCGCATTCTGTTAAATCCAATGTTTTAAAAACTGAAATATCAAAACTACTAATTTTTCTAAATGGAAAGTCAAATGTTATAATTGGTGGAGATTTTAATGCAAGATGCAAAGCATATGGTGACGTTTTTGACACGGTTCGAGGATCCACTGTGCAAACTTTGATGGACAGTTCGGCATTCCGATGTGTAAATGATGGCTCAGCAACTTTTAAAAAGAATCTTTATGACAACTCCTTCGGTTCCGTGTTAGATCTAACCTTTACAAATATGTCTTCAACCTTTAATTGGAATGTAAAAAATACAAGCATTGGGGGGAGTCATCACAGGCCAATCCTTATAAACGTAGATAATTTTTCATCAAAGGAACAATACTTCCTAGCATAAAAAACATCTCTTCAAAAACTTATCTAATCTCAAAATTGATTCCAATATGAATGATATTCAATCTAAGTTACAGTCAACAATTAAAAATTCTACTTTTCCGATTACTACCGAAAAAAATTCAAAACTTGGTGGAATGATGACATTACTATACTCCTACGTAAAAAGGATGCTGCAGAACAGAAATTCAACAGATACAAAACCACTGAAAATGCTTTATGTGCTATCAACGCTATATCTAATTTCAAAAAAGCTGTAAAATGTGCCAAAAATCGCGCAAAACGTCGCAAACTTTCAGATTTAAGCCAGTTATCTAATTCAAACTCGCTTTTCCGTTACATAAAGAGCTGTAAATCAGTGTTCGAACCCCTATGTGACTCTAAGTGGAACACAGACAATAATGAAGCCTTCTTACGCCATCTGTGTGAACAGGTTCCCAATAATAGACAAACTATATCCGTTTCCATTTACAATAATCAATCTACAGAATTCTCCATGGAAGAACTAAACAACGTTCTAGCGCAAAAAACTAAGCCGTCTGCAGCTGGTCTGGATGGAATCACATATGAAATGGTCAATAAACTATCCCATGAGAGTAAACAGAACCTTTTGAATTCTTTTAATAATTTAGTTTTTTAAAGAATGGAGAAAAATTAAAATTGTTCCCATACCGAAAAAAGGAAAAAATCTAGATATTTGTACAAATTTTCGGCCAATTGCTTTAATTTCTGTTCTGGCAAAGATCGTAAACCTCATGGTCAAACAAAGGCTCAACACATTTCTAGATGAAAATAATATTCTTCCACCTAGATCATATGCTTACCGCAAACATGTGTCAACTTCAACATGTATAAATGACATACTGCATACAATAAATACCTCAAAAGAAAAAAAATACAAGGTTCTTGTTCTCTCGATGGATGTATCGAAGGCCTATGAATGTGTCGATATAAATTACCTGCAGATGATTCTAATAAACATTCTGCTACAAATTAGATCATGGATTATAAATTTTCTCTACAAAAGGACGCTATGTATGGGTAACTCCACACTAAATATATACAATGGGATTCCACAAGGCAGTTGTTTAAGCCCAACACTATTTAACCTATACACATTAGGTCTTCATGGATTGGCTGACGAAAACACCAACATTTTTCAATATGCGGATGATTTTATTTTGCTGGTGGCAAGCCCCGACTTCGAGAGTTCCAACAATATTCTACAAATAAAAACTAATAATATGGTATCCTTGCTAAAAAAACTTAACCTCGACGTGAATGCTGATAAAACTTCCGTAATGTACGTGGCTAAAGGAGGTCGGAAAATTCCTCATATTTTACTAAATGGAGTCCAAGTAAACGTTGTTAAATCCATTAAATTTTTAGGAAGGCATATTAAAAACAGTCTATCACTCAAGGAACATTACGAAGAGGTGATGTTATCCTGCAGAAATACTGTTAATGCGTTAAAAATGGTCACTGGTCCAAAAAGTGGAATTCATCCAGCAAAAGCTATAAACCTGTCAAAAGCGCTTGTTTTTTCAAAGACCGAATATGCAATATCATCAATGGCTCACAGGCCAACGTATATAAACAAGAAGCTAACAAGTTTTCAAAATCAGTTGTTAAGGAGAAATTTGGGTCTAGTACCTTCCACTCCATATCATGTTGTATGCGCTCTTGCTGGTACTCTACCAACCGATCTAAGAGCTCAACATTTGGCGGCTAAAGAATTAATAAGACTTAAGATATACAACTTATCTTTGTACGAATACTTCACTTCAAATATATCGAAAAAACAGTCTTGGATATGTTTATACAAAGTTTCGCACAGTATTTGATAATCTCAAAATTGGTTACAATCTAAATCCGATCAACAAGGTGGTTTTCATTTTGGACATTTTTAACACTAAAAAACACAATATACCAATGGAGTACATTAAAGGTCACTACTACGAATTAATTAACGGCTTCAGATCGGAAGGCGTATCTATTTGGGCGACTGATGCTGCAGTTTTCAACAATAATACTGGTTGCGCTGTTTGCAACATATCCTCTAATCAAAATTTCGTTTTCAAAATTAATGAAAAACTTTCTTCTCTTACCGGTGAGCTATGTGCAATTGAAAAGGCAATAGATTTGACGATTGAAGACGGTGTCAGTACAGCTGCTGTATTTACGGACAGCAAAAATGCTTGTCTTTTGCTTAAAAATAACACATCACACAATTTCACTGTGTACAATATAATGAATAAAATCATAAATTCGCAATTAACAAAAATCTCATTTGTCTGGATACCTTCCCATGTCGGAATACCAATAAATGAAACTGCCGATTATTTCGCGAAGCATGCTGCTAATGCTGGTTCACCAATAAACTTTTGTCTGTCGGTCACAGATGCGTCGAAACATATTGAAGTACTCCTGTGGAACGAATTTATAGAAAATTACAAGGATATCTCACGTACTAAAGGAACTTACTTCTACCAATACTTCCCGGCGCCTGCTAAACAGCCCTGGTTCTTATCATCCAACATGAAACCTGAAAACATAAAAATTGTTAATCGATTGCTTACTGGTCATACTTACACTAAGAAATATTTCCACAGAATTGGAATTGCTGATTCAAATCTTTGTGAAACCTGCAACGAAATTGAAGATGAAAAACACATTATTTTTTCCTCAAAAAGTATCAGAATCATAGGAACGATTTTGGATTTTTCAAGAAGTTTAACAACTTACCGGAAATCCTGATGTCCAAAAACCAAAAAAATACAGATGAATTAATCAATTTCATTGCGCTTTGTAAAATCGAAGTTTGACTATTTTGTAAATAATCGTCATCTTTGCTTAAATTTCACTTTTATCTATTTTGATATTATTCTTTGCTTTTGTTTTTGATTTCTTATTTACGCCATTTATATTATTATACCTCTGTAAGCACACACATACTGTAAACAAAAAGAAAAAGAAAATAAAAGAGTACTGATACTTTTCAAGTAACCCTGTCGTCAAATGAGTAGCTAACTACAAAAAAACCAATTTAAAGTTAGCTGGTATAGACTGGCTACAAAGCCACTACTACGCAATGCAAAAAAAATGTATGAAAATATCGGCGATCGGCCACCAATGCCGTTCAATTTAAACGGCGTAAATTTTAATGTACGCCTTGGAAGTGTAATTTTGTAAACAACAAATCCCGCGTTTAATTTGTCGATTGAAAGTCGTTTGTTTGTGAATAAAGTTTTGTGATTTTATCTAAAGTTTTACAGTGAGTTTTTAATTAAATGTAATAAATAATGTGGTTAAATGTAATGTGGTTTGAACACACAATTTTTTTAATACAGAAGAAAAAAAGAAACATGAGAAGTGCGAGTAAACGACATTTGAGGCGGAAAATAATCGTAACGACTATGTAAGTTTCCTAATAACATTTCTGATTTTGTTTATGTATCCATTAAATGATTTCTTTTTACTCCACAGATAAATACAATGAAAACAATATTGAGGGGACGTTTGCCCTCAATATAATAATTAATTTAATATTTTTAACAATTTTTTTTATTTAAAATACAAATGTGCAAACTAATTTTTTCCATTCCTAAGATTTTTAAAACCAAAAACTAATATTAATTTTATTTGTATTGTTAAACCGCAAATGTTTAAATAATTTATAAAAATCTTTGTGATAAATGATGTGATCCTTGTTATGTTTTTTTATATTAATAAATTGTTGTTTTATAATAATGTAAATTTTTAAACCTCGTTTTATTTCAGCAAGATACAAATAGTGGCTTTTCACCTAACGTGCAAAAAAGTAACTTTTCTCTGACTACAATTTGACTTACAAATAGTTAGTTTAAAACAAAATTAACTGAAAGCGTATTTAAACAAGTAGATATATAGCTAACTGCAAAAAGTTAACTATAAGTTAACTGCTGGATAACTGACTATAAAGTTAACTGAAAGTAGTGCAAATTCGGAAAATTGACTACTTCGTAGGACATCACAATGTTAAAATAGTCAGTTGGTTACAGGTAAAAAAGTCGATTTATCAACCACTACTAATTGAAAAAAGTTAGTTTTCAATTAGTTTAAAGTTAGTTGAATGTACGACAGGGAACTTATAACCGGTCATGGTGAATGGGCACGAAAGTGTTCTAACCACCAACATACTTGGCGACGTAGAAGTACAAAAAAAAAAAAAAATATCGAGTTAACAGACAGAGCCATTGTTTTCAACGAACAGAGCAAAGCAGAATTTGCGTGTACGGCAAATTCTGAACAGGCAAATTTTTGTTTTTCTTCCTCGCACCCCTCTCGCCTACAAAACTCAGTATTTGCCAAATAAAAATTTGCCTGTGGAAAAGCAGACTAATTGTTTTGCAATTTTGAAACAGTGCAAATTGTTCTTGTAGCATTTGATCAATCTTTTTTGTCTTCCTTGCCGTCAATCAACAACAACAATGCTTTTAGAAGTGACTTCGTAGGCGAGGGAGTGAGAAACTAACCAAACCGATTAGAACCAAACTTTGCACAATCTATAATATTTACGATCAAGGAGGAGATCAAGGAGGAAGATAGGACCTATTGGTACATTCCTTCTGGTACCTCCTCCACAAATAGCAAAAAATCAATATTTATAAATCCCATATTAGGCGAACGAAATGTCCAATTTGAAACAAACTTTGCATTTATCTTTACCAAACCTACATCAAGTCCGAAAACTGAATTCCCTTAACCAATTACGGAATTAAAAAAAAAAAAAAAATAAGTGGCAATATATATGGTGTAAACAATTTTTAGTAATTGTCAATTGAGATATCAGCTGGTTTTACTGGATGATCTTAATATATAGACCTTGTTACATACCAAGATCTATATATTAAGGTCATCCAGTAAGGGCAGCTGATATCTACATTTTTTGTCAAAATGTATGAAATTCGAAAAAATAACCATATTTAGCTGTGGTGAAAAAGCAAGCATTTATTGAAATAAAGTCAGTGCTGTGTAAAATAAAATGTAGATACAGGATTAGATATTTCCTGAAATTCGCCTTCTGGATGACCTGTTATTTGATCCATGTTACATACCATATAATTTGATTCTAACTTCAGAATAAAAAAAATCTATATTTGATTTGAGGAAAGGAAAAAGAAATATCTTGTTGTTTATAACTTCCTCGCATGGTATAATTATTACAAGGTAGGGCACAGTTACCAACTAATTACAATGTTTTCTCAAGGTGGCTTGTTCCGTCAAATCAAAATACATATTTTGTGTATGTATGTGTATTGTTTTGAATAATATGTCAAATAAAGTTAAAATAAATTGAAATATATTCAAATTTAATTGAAATGAAAATGATGTTTTTAACACGTTCGTCTGGAAGTATTTACTTTGTTATGGATGAAACATTTTATGGTATTCCCTGCTGCATTTTGGGAAGAAATCATAACCCTTCATTCAGCGGTCTGTTTTGTGTTGAAAAAATGTCAAATAAACACAAACACTTGTTGCGAATATTTATTTTATTTTTGGCAGAAGAAGCCACACGTGCATAGTTGCTTTTTTGTTATTCACCTCAAGCTGTCCTACCTTGTATTATTGTACCATGCTTCCTCGCAAGTACATTTTATCCCTTAAATCAAGAAAGAAAGACTGCGAGCAATTAAAGTTGCTCGAAACTCGCCAATGAATGGTTATCAGAAGAAATCTGAGAGGGGTGAAGAAAAGATGCTGGTAAAATGTTTGTCATAATACAAATTTGCTCGTACCATATGAACAAAAAATTGGTCGTTATATCCAGTGTTTACTATAATCGTTTTCGCCTGTATCAATATATTAATAATTTGCAGGTGTATTCAATTTATCTTTAAACGCTCTCTGCAAAGATATACAAATAATATCGTAACATTTCTTCCGAACCAAAATCTTGTTCGAAGCCAAAGAATATCAGACCACTCCTTCCGGTACCTCCACCAAATAGGTCAACATTTTGTTAAAAAAAATACAATAACCTGCAAAGGGGTTATTCGTTTTGATCCAAACTTAGCAAAACCTTATATTTTTAACGAAACTATATCATGATTGAACTTCGTGATTTGTACCTTCTTTAGATACCTCACCCACAAAGGTTCAATATTTGAAAAGTAACATTTTACCAAAATTTAAATTGTATGTAAAGAAAATAGTATAAAATTCGGTATATGATTTTATATACGCCATCATACCTTCGCCAAGTATCAACATGAATGCGCTACTTGCTAAACCAACCTTCTGATTCATCTTCTAAATCGGACCGATATCAATCATTTCTAGAAAGGACATTTGATATCCAATTATATTTCAAAATACCTAATTATAGTAGAATACCTAATCGGAACTCAAATCTTGAAAAAAAAACCCAAAACACCGTACGTTTACACAAACACAATAAAATCCATAACTATGAAAAATCTTAAGTTAATGATAAAAATTGTCAAAAATACACTTCTTACTCTTAAATTTAGGGAGAAACGTATTACCTGATTTTGTACGCAATCCAATGTTGCTCATTATACCAATACTGCAATAGAAACACAGTGGGCTTATGTAATTTATTCAATATACGTCTTCATTAAGAAGGACTTTATTTAACAATAACATTATTAACTAAATTGTACACCAAAATATTCATTTATGCTAAGATCGTCTTTAAAACTATCAGAAGAGCAATAGACAACGGATTTGTATTTTTTTACAAACGTTTGTAATTAAAGACTAGTTTAGATTTAAACACAGTGCGTGCGTTCGTGTGTTCTATCAATGGTAGACTATTGGTGGTGCCTTGTCCCATATTAGAGAAATGATGTTGGATATGGGACATACTGCACAGCAAGTCTTCAATTTAAGTGCGGATCCGTTCTACGGAAACCCTCACGAGAAACTGTAAGGCTTTCGCACAAAGGTACATCGGCTATTGGAGTTCGTATTTACACGTACATACCTTATATATTTATACATAATACTAAATTTAATTATACATATTTACATATTCATAACATTGCAAACAAAACAAAAATAGAAGAAAACTTAAGTATAGGTGGAAAGTTCAAATACAGGCCAATGTATAACTGCGGCACATGTGGCTCAATAAATCGTTCCCTATACAAACTATATGCTACCTACAAAAATTCACATAGATCCCAGAACAGCCGTTCATCGAAGGCCTGAGAGTCTGTACCATATAGACAATAGTGAAAATGTCAACATGACTCGAATGCGGTATTGAAGAAGTTAAATGGCTTGGAGTCTCACCTCACTACTATGCTACAAAATTCGATCTTATATACATTAAACTAAAATGAGAGACTGTTGGGTCCAACAGCGGCAATATCCTACGGCAACGAGTATTATTACGCTCGTTGATGTCGTTCAAAGCTATGGAATAGTTTACGATTGAGTTTGGATGCGGGTTGGTGCAACATTAGTTCACCTTCTTTTGACTTAGCGATGGTAGTATATCCTGGCTGTTGTGGTTGTTGTTCAGCTCCAACGCTTTTGGCTTCTGAATGAATTCGTTTGCGCATGTCGTTGCCTGCTTAGCAGCTGCAGCTGCCTTGGAAGATTTGCCCTTCTTGTAGGCCTGAATGTAGAAGTTCATGAAGAGACAGAAGAATATCGTGGAGTTAAGCAACAACAGACTGGATATGAATTTCGAGAATTGGCACTGTTGGCTGAAGAGAGCGCGAATGGTGTGAATGATGCAGAGGATGAATTGGGCCTAAAAGGAACACAAAAAATAGTAAATTAGTAAAAGTAATAGTTGAAGTTGTGGTACACACTCATCATAGTCATGTAAATAATTGTTTAAATCAAATATATGCTTTGCATGTGGAGTGTACGTATGTGTGCATGGTATAAAAACATAAGTTAGCAAGCAAGTGTTGTGGTATAACAATGTGAAAAACTCCACAAAGTAAAACTCCAAAGTAATACAAATATCACCCGAAAACTCAATTAAGAATATAAACTTTCAGAACTGATCCATATTTCCGATTACAGTTTCATTCGTTTTTTTTTTAACTTATAAGCTGAATGCTTCGTTTAGTTCCAATGGTTGTTTCATTCATTCAACTCATATTTGTTGAAAATATTATTGACGCTAATATTACACTCAACAAGACGTTAAGACGTTGCCAAATAATTAAATTGGCCGGCATAAAAAATAGTCTGTTCTAGGATTTTGTTAAAGTTCATTGCCTACTCATCTATATGTAAATATGTAGACATACACAAATCTCAACTGGATTTGAAACTTTGTACCCAGAAGACAAAAGATTCGGAATAATACATTTTGGAATTACCCATTTAACCAGTGCTAACCGGTTCCCTGGGAATGTTTTCAAATGACGCAAATGAAATATTTTGCATTTTTTGTAAAGGTGGCGTGTTGACGTTCTGCATTTGAACGGTGGGAAATTCAAGTCGCCCTCTCCCTTTTATTGAGTAATGTTAAATACAATTTCGGATAATTGCGGCACAACCAAGTGAACTGGCTATCTGTATATGTATAAAATATTTGTAATATTGTATTCCCATACTCCACAAGTGGTAAACTTTTCAAATTTTTAAAGGGAAAGTCTAAAACAATTTCGATTAATGGAAAAGTCTTTCCTGTTCTGGAACATAGCAAATAGGTTTCAATATTCGAAACTATAATTTTATTCCCGTTTAAAGTAATCCCCCAATTTGGTTGAATTCGTAGATCATACGTCTGAACTACTTTTGGCCTTTTCCACATAATGCACCAGAGTTGTTGCAGTAGATGAGAGTTGACTTGCGATCGCCTCACTTGTGAGTGACCTACAAAGCAATTCGTTGGTCAACATCTGAGTAGTGCAACAAGTTTTCAACGCTGCTCTGTCATACGTTCGGTTTCTGGTTGCTGCTGAACGGTTTGTTGCAGCCGTCATATTTGCAGTAATGCAACATGGGCATGTTAACCTGCCTGCCCGGACCGTATGGTTGCCTGTCGATGTCTCAGTTGCATGGAATAACAATCGATATTAAGCTCTCGTGTATTATTAAGTTGCCTGTTTCATTTATCAAAACAACTACAACAATGGCCGAAGGGGCGAGGCAGTACAGACTATATGGAAGGTGTAATAATGTTTGCGCTTCGTAAGAAGAATGAAGTCATCAGCTTTTGGTAATTTTCTTAAATGTACGGACTGGTTTCAAATGTCGACAAAACATTTGGGGGTTCTCATTGAATATGCCGTATAGGACATAACTACCTTAATACGTGAACCTTAATGTCCTTGGCCAGACTGCGTCCAACTGTTGAAAACAATGGGTAATACCAATGCTGGCTACATTGCAATGTCTATATATTTAAAGTGAAAAATCCGTGATAGGGTATATATGAGCCGGTGTCCCCTGGATAGATACACCATCTAACATTGTTGTAATATTGAATGAATTACGTTATATAGTCTTGTTTGTGTAGTGTACCGAGTGTGCTAAGCTGGCGGCGGAATGGTAGCTGTTACAGCTTATGTGTAAGTCATTGTGGCAGCACTCAGGTGGCACGAGAGCTTCAAATTTAGTTTGTCGGTCGAATGGAATTGTTTAAAGTTTAATATCAGCGCTGTAAAGAACGTTGTACTAATATTGTTGTTGTTGTTTCTTTTGAACAAACGCTTACTCTGCTCATACGTAGACACTCAGAGTTGTTTAGGGGGTTTAGGTAGAGAGGTGAGCGTGAGTGCCGGGCGGCGGAGGTTGGCAAATGCACTGCTTGGCATTATTTCTCAACAGATTTCAATTTCAAGTTTTATAAAAAAGAAACAGTTAGCAGCGTTTTGAAAACGTAATTTATGTCTTGGCTTGGTTAATACAGCTTTTAGTTCTATGGATTTCCACTTCATAATAATATTGAGCATTCTCCAGCAAATTAGCACGATTGTACATATTTGCATTTTCTGGTAATTTCGCAATACATTCTCAATCCAATAATCGTGACAAAACCGGTGCGGAGGAGCGACACGAGAAAATTATATCCTAAATTAGGGAACTATTAAAATGCCCTCCACCCTTGTGCATTGGGGGTATGAATGACACTTTGTCACAAACGTTGACAACGACAATATCACCTAACTGATGTCGCTTCGTTCGATTTGTGATTGCATCTCGTCTTTCCTTAAAACACAGAATATATATTGAAAACCGGAAAATTCATCCACACAACAATTTTGAGTTGGAATGTAAGTCAAGCTTTTGAAGAGAGGAACAGACAAGCGGTTTGGAAAACTATTCTATGCGAATTGCACAAATCTTGAACCGGTTATGGTTGTTGGTTAGTATTTTCGGACGGCCAGATAGGCTTCATACATATATTTCAAATATTTGGTTGCATAATAGTTATAGTATTGTTCTGTGTAGCATGGGGGCATATACATTGTTGAGCCATCTATACTTACGATTTGCAATTCTGTCATGTACTTTTTCCACCAGAGATACTTGGCGTAGTTGGGTCCCATTGCGGACATCATGTAGTAGAAATACATGCAAATATGGACAAAGTTGTTCAGGAGATTGGGGAATGTGGCATTACCACCTGTAAGTTGCGAACAAGGTTAATACATTTCGAGATTTCGATGTCATTATAACGCGAAGACTTACCTGCGACGAACTTAACTAAGACCCATGTTTCGAGAGGGGTTACGGAGTGATGGTACACATGCAGCCAGGTGATTTGTGATGATTTTTTGCGAAGCACGAAGAACACAGTGTCGGCGAATTCAGTCAACTTTGATAGGTAGTAAACATAGCAAAGATTCAGCATCTGCAAAGGCGAAATTTATAATCGTTTATAGTTTTCATTTAATGACTAACTAACTGAAGTTTGACGACCCAGGACACATGGTATTTTGACTACTATCATTCTAACTAGGAATAGGCCATAATAAGTAACATATAATGACGACTTTGTCAATTTTGATTTCTGATGTACATTTGTCCTACGAGCGTCTCATTACAGCTAAAGATGTGCGAAACGCGTCTGAAAAGTCTGCGAGTCTGGTTACCAAACCCAAAAGACAACAATAGTTGTAAACAAATATTTGTTAGTGGTAATCACGTTGGCATTTTATTTGAAGTCAAATATTGCACAGAGTTATTGTGTGGTGAGTTTAAGAACCATTTTGACCACAAGTACACTCGCACACTCGCCCCTCCCGCAGACAGAATATCAAGACGCCAGACTACACCAGTGTATGTTTGCAAGCACGCAGATGTGTACCAAGTACATGCCCCTGTACACAGCACTCGCCACACATACACACAAATGTTGGGTAGTGTTGAGTCAGTTCAATAACAAAAATTGGTTAAACCAACTATCGGCTGGCTAGTTATGCAACAGCAACAACGACCTTCAGCACGAAAATTGTGCTTAAAAGAAAAACAAATAAAAGCAAAACATTCTACAGCGAAGCGAGTTTATTTTGCCCGATTGGAAAACGGAGAGTGGCGTTCGTGTTTGAAGAGCGGAAGTGCCCATGTAAGAGGGACGGACAAGTGTTAATTTTTGCATTCTATATTTCTGGGTTAGCATGTTTGCTTCTTAAGTCTTTCGATTTCTCATGAACAGTCCCACTCTGCAAATGCACAAAGAATTAACTAAACACGCATTAAGAGAACAAATAGAAATACTAGCGCTGGGCCAATTTCGGCCCATGGATTATCTTATCTTAATACTTTTAAAGTCCAAATGTATTTTTATGTTCAAATACTGACAATGTGGACTCGTATGAAAATCGTCTGTCGATTTATAAGTAACAATGGAATATTGAAAACCGCTAAAACCAAATAAATTAATTCGTTGCGTCAATAAACGCGTAATTCACTTAATACAGAAACAATTACAAGAAATGTATGCATTAATTACTGATAATTGGAAGTTATTTAACAGTCGGACAATTACCCCTTAAACTTGAAAATGTCTCCGGCGACAATTAAATATTTCCATTCTGGCTGGTGTCATGCATGCAAGCGTGTACGTTGCATACGTATTTCTGCTTTGTCATGTTGTTATTTTTTACGGCTAGACTGAGTTCTTTGCTAATCGGAGTACTATATTCAGTATCGGAGTGATTACTGACTTTGGCAAATGATGTGCTATTTAAAACCCAGTTATATATTCCCGTGACACCCGATATGTATGTATGTGTCCTGATTAAGATTCAAACTTTGTATATAACTTACCCGTTTTGACATTGGACTATCTGAGTAGTCCACTGGCTGACATTTAAGGTTGTAGTTTAGCCATCCTGCTACTAGATGCTGCAAGGAGACAAGTACAAATAAATAATTCAATGATAGGAAATCGATAGAGTGCATTGTAAGAAAGTATCAAATGTTCGACATACCTCATAAAACATATATGCACTGATAGCGACTTGGCATGCATTATAAATGACCATGGTTCGTTTGAGCTGGAACGGTTTACGATCACGCATGAAATACGGACCTATCACCAGCACCCAGGACAAATAAATGCCCACCAAGCCGAATGTGTATAGCGGGTTAGACATCATTGGGAAACGATTTGATCTGGGATCTGCAAAAACAAAAATAAGTAGTTGTATATGAATGGGTGTAAGCGATTACAGTTAATTCGATAATCTATTGGCGACGATGAACTCATTCGTTCCATTACATATATTCACCACATATTTGGGATCTCAACAAGTCAGATTACGGTTTAAATCACCACAATTTGTGTCTTGGCAATGCAAAAAAGGGGGGAAAAACAAGACATGTTGTTTCTCAAATATATATGTAGGTTTCAATGCAAAGCAAAAATAAAAGAGAAAAAAAAGACAAAAAAAAAAAACATTCACCTTAAATGTTAATGTTTTACTTATTGCAAATAATTTTAAGACTAACATTCGAACATCGATACATCAGGTTTTCTGGATCAAGTTTGGCAACCAGATTTTGGTTTTTTGTAAACAACAACTGCAAAACACGATGTATGCCTCTCTTCTTTTGCTTTTAATTTAATACAATTGATGTGCATTTATAGGCAGCCGAAATATATTGTTGAATATCAGGGTTTTGCTATAGAAGAATATAAAGCATTCTTAGGTAGCAAGAAATTACATAATTATTGAAAATTTTGTATTTATGGGGTTCAATGATGTCTGACATTTGAAGTTTTTTTACGTGTTCTTCGACAGAAACCCTTTGAGATTTTGGACTATTTAGCCTTGCGATGTATTATTATCCAAGAAGGAAACGAAACGTTGGAGTAATACGTGATATCTTTCTTGCCATGCATTTATTCATGTTACAAAGTTTGTAAGACGGGGCAATACTTTCATATAAATAACTGTGAAGCATAACATTCGACATAGTCAAAAACGTCTTTTGTTAGTTTCCGGGCTCCCCAAAATACTATGTTATGGAGATTTATACAAATATTAATTAAACTATATCACTTCATAGAATATGTCGTTTAACAACAAATACGAATTCAGCTGAGTAGTTTTTTTGTTTGTCTTACCAATAAACATTAAATAATTATGTCTACCATAATTTTGTCTTTTTAACTCTTTACTTGTTTTCCGGCTTTTTGCTAAGACCTTTCCATCGTAATTATTCGTGTGTCACATAGGGCACAATGTTTTCAGTCGACTTCTGTATTTTTCTACAACACACAGTCAACAGCAACAACAACGCTAAAATTAATTCAGTTCCCTAAACAATGACTATCTTAGGAAGATGAAAAAACACACGCTTTGCACTCGTCGTTCGACATTAAAACAATGGCGAACAATAAAAAATCCATAAACGTTTTTTTTTACTGAGAATTCGTTCATTGGCTTAATCGCCTAATGCGTGCCCACAAATATGAATATGAACCACATAATGAGTTGCCCGAAGGAGGGGGAGGGGTGCTCGAAGTGGCGCACATAGTTAAATGTAATTAAAACATTTTTGTTTTTTAATTCTCTAAAAATAATAACAACAACCATAATTGCCTGCAAAACAAACAATAAGCCAAAGCAGAATCGCGGCTAAAGAACATATCATACCCATTGACATTTGCAAGGTTTTCTCGAATAATTAAATGTATATCCGCTTAGAATTTTCCGATTGTTGAGACATCTCGGCAGATTAGACACATTTGCTTGGAATTTGTACTAGGAGGAAACAGGCTAATCTGACGTATAAAAAGCTGTTCTGCTATAGTTGCTGGGAGGGATGACACGAAGTCGTCAATGTTAACATCAATGATAGGGAAAGAACGTTGTAAAATTCAGCCAATTTCGGTTTACCATCAATAGGCGAAGACAACTAACGATATCACGATATTGACCTAAATGGTCCACATAATTACAAGGTCCATATAATCGCATTTATCGAACAGATATTTGTCGCGATATAAAATAACGCCAGTTCGATTATATTTCAAGCCAACATTTTACACCGATGATAACTCGAAAAAGTTTCCATTTCAAAGTTTACACCTAGAATGGTAGTTATTATCTAATATCCATTATTAGCACTTGTTGATCACTTTGATAATCAGTCTAAGGGGCCTCGCCTGCGTGGCGAGTGGTCTTAATCGATTAACCCCCGATGACGGACAATGGGATTCCCTTAACGTTTGTCCGCAGTTCGTTTGTTTTAATTGCCACCGTAGTTAATAAACGGGTAATTGAAGAACAATTATTGCTAATCGTATTGATATAGCGGTCGGTAAATTTCCTCCATCCACCTATACATATTCAATTACATACACACAGACACACGGTCGTGCAATGGTATGGCATAATAATGTGAATTGATTTATGCAATATTAAATAATAATAAAATGTATTTTCCAATATACTGATAAAGACTTTGAGATAGTTAAAACAACGTCAAAACAACGTATGAAATTATACGAATAGTAATTGTAAAAAATAAATGAGTAACTGATTCAGTCGAATAATGCCCATCGTTACAGAATATCGAGCACGGCTAAGTGGCGTTTTATAAAGTTCCAAGATTTAAAATTTTGGCAGAATTTATATATTATATGTTTGTTGTATGATCTTTTTCAGATCATCTGGGATAAATTCTCACAAAACCCAACTAATGCCACTTAACGTCAATTAAGACTTAAAAAAGGGTGAGAGCAGGAAATAAGTTTAAATATTGCTATGTAATAGGAAGCAAACAATGGATTTCTTATAAGCCGACATTTATTCACTTAGCCAACTAATCCTTCCGGTGCGCTTTTTGAGGCAATTCTACGGAAAGAGATCTGATATTGTGAACAGTCTGTAAGCTACTTGCAGGGGAAATGATCACAAAATATATACATATCGTAATTATATGTTTGTCGAAACACCAAGATGCGAATCTGATGCAATCGGCTCACAATACTTACCGCCATAATCCTCCTCCACCAAGTAGTAATATCTTTGTATTAGTCCTGTGAAGTTCTTTGTCACATAATGTGATTTGAATTCTTCGATTGCAATGTGGGCAATCTCCGCAGCCATATCGAACCCCGATGTAATGTTTCTGTTCATTTTGATGATTTGTTGTTTGTGATACGGTTTGGGCTTCTAGGATTGAACGTTTTCTTAGGCCTTGTGTGGTATTTTTGGGCGTTTATTCACTTCGAATATAAGTATAGCACAATTCACTGTTGGTTTTGTCGCCGTTGCGATTTTTTGTAGAGTAGTAATAAGTTTCAATCTTTAGCGAATGCTAAGAGCACATTATCACTTATTGGTAGTGCTTGCGCCGAATATTGGTTTGTTTGTTTGCTTGTTGCAAGTGTTATTGAGCAACCGACCCGTATTGGAAATGTTTGCACTTTTGTAATCCACTTCTGGCGATTGTTTGTCGTTCGTTCGTTACTCGGTTCCGTTCTTTGCTGTTCAATCGTTAATATACGTTTTTCATGTTTTGGAAATGTTAATTGTTTTGTTCAAGTCTTGTTGGAGGTGGTTTCTGCCAAACCGAACCGTATGAATTTTTATGCTCAACTGACTCCAAAACTTCTCAACCTGCATAAGATAATATAAGTTTTCGAACGACGTTCAAGACGCAATCTGCGAATACTACCAGCACACAGACGGCTCACACATACACAGATATAGGGGTGCACGAAGTAAAGCACAGGTTGTAGAATAAAGACACCACTAGTACAGCACGGCACAGCACTCAGCCAGCTTTGCAAATATCGATCATAACGATAATCACAGTCAACAAACAAGCCGGCAGAGACTAGATGCCTAATGTATGTACTTGCCAAAGAGGTAGTAACGGAGCAGAACAAAACAGAGAAGCGACAACGACGAGTACGTCGACAGAGGTCGACGTTCATTCCTTCATTCGTTCAATAAAGCAATGACTTCGAAAACCGAGGTGACGTTTTAAATCGAGCTAAGCCCGAACCAAAGCTTTAGTCAAACTCAAGGTACTCACAACCGTGGGCTCACTCACATTCAAACAGACAGATGTGGATATAGACATAGATTACGAATACGAGTGCAGTTAGAATGTTTGTTTCTTTTGTGTTATTAATGAAAAGCTTTACCTTGCTTCGTCTTTGGCTAGAATGTGCGTCAAGAAACCCCCCTTGAATTGTGTATGAACGTGTATGTATGTGTATAGACCGGTCCGTCAATAGATGACAATATTATCGGTTAGCCTTTAGTCTGCTCGTCATCAATGTGCCTTGTTAATATCTTCAAAATATATTAATACAGAAATTACGGACATGCCTTACAGTGTGTTTATGTTCGAATTTAGATGAATTAAATGAATGACGGCAAATAGCAAAATGGGGAAGTTTAATTCGGTTTTCACATCGTGGATAATTATGTGGACTACTCGGGCGACTAAAATAAGGTTTATTCTATTTAAGTATTAAAAAATGATACACGAGGTCCACATTGAAAATTTCTTTATGCAAAAAATGTTTATTTTTTAAGGGGTCTCGATTTCACAAAATTGAATTTTATTTGTTATTCAATTCAAGAATGTCCCCAACTGAACATCTCAAAAACTATCGTATGCTATCGTATGAACTACGATAAATGTAATCGGTCATGATAATCCTTATATTATAAAGAATTTAAAAAAAAACAAAATTGTTAATATTTGTGCGATTTTAATTATCCTGACATATACTATATCCAATGCCTTTGGATGTTGGGTTTGGACGATCCAGGGGTCGGAAATCATGCTCGCCATCGAAAAGAAGGATTTAACATTAATTACAACATCAGCATTATTATATCAATTAAATTATCATTTAAGTCCTCAAATACACATATATACAAAGTTACAAGTCTTAAATATAATGCAGAACTCGTTTTTATTAAAGCTCCGCACATTCTAAGTTTTTGTTTCGAAGTATGGGAATACCCATACTCTAACGGGTCTCTAAGAACCATAAAAGTGAAAATGGTTATCCTGTAACTGAAATACTCGACACCTCATATATTCATGTTTGTATTTTTTCTCCTATGGGGGGATCACATTACTTGGAGTTTACATTTCTCATTTTTGAGTAGACAAAAGCAAAGATATAACCCAAATACATGCCATGATATAAAAGAATGAAATGTTATACAAAAAGTCCCATTCGATTTGATTGAAGACATGGTATCTCACAAATAACCTGCAAACAAAGATATACATTTTTCCCAGGAATAAAAGGACACCTTGTGGGTTCTTAACATACTTGCCAAGGATTATCTTTTCCAAAAAGAACTTCCACTCCCAGACCATGAGATCCATTTCTTTGCAAAATAACGAAAAATAATTTCAAATAAAATGAAATGGATTGAACATAAAAATAATTGAAAACACATAGCATCATCAAATGAATTAAGTTAATATGTTCATACATCAATTCGGAATTTTATTTTCAATTGGCTGGATGCATACGCTACCAAAACAATGAATACATATTTGATATCTAAGATACTGTATAATATAATTTGATAACATTTGATATAATTTGATAACATTTTATGTTTAGGTCTGAGAGTAGGTCGTCGTAAAGTGGATAATTAGACACTACCCTCATTAACATTTAACGGTTTAGTTTAGAAGTAAAATACATTTTTACGAATTATTGAGTTTTTTCTAAGCAAATGTGTCAAATACAAAGGAAACTTACTTATTTGTTTCTTGTAATTTCAACAATTTTGCTCGTTTTTTAATAAATCGTGTTTTTTAGATTTTTAATTGACTTGGATATCACATATACGCTCACGTATCCCGCATTATATGCCAGCTAAGCTTTACACACACTGCCGGAGTTACGCATTTGTCTCTTTCATAAAGTGATTGATGTGTTGACATCGTTGGTCATGAAACCGATTTTATTGGTTTCGTGGAATATTGACATTAAGCACCATTCTGCTCGGCCTCAATCTAAGTGACCTTTGCCACTCTTTTGGTTGTGACAATTATTCGTAGATAGTCATCTCTGAATGTCCGTGTTACAATTCCCTTTCTTTATGCGATTTCATTGGGTAATAACCAATGACGCCGTGACGAGAGCAACAGAATGATACGTCAAATAGGAACCTTGTCATTAAATTGCTAACGTGTTGTAATTATTGACAGTTGTTGTAGTGAATTATTTAAAATGTCCGAAATAGTCCAATTAAGATGTACACAGGGCCAGCCACCGTGACTTAAGAATATTTACAGAGAGTTAAGTGCGAACCATTGTAGTGTTTATTGCAAAAACCAAACACTTAACCTGCTAGCACTTCCCGGACGAGTTCTACCCCTTACACTCATGACATACATATGCAGAACGTGTGTATGTATGTGTATTTATGAATCTAAGTGTTTTCTGGGTATTTGTGGTCAATTCTCATGTGAACGTTAAGGCACACATGAGTGTATGTATGTAGGTACATATGTCGGCAGTTAAACACAAAAGCCATTGACCAACAGCGCGCATATTCATTTGTTAATAATCTCTTTGCTGACTTTGAAGAATATTTCGGCAGCACTTTTTGTAGTCATTATTTGCGAAGGTTTATGATAAAACTGGCATTGATTCTGGAGCAATTTAAGCACAAAGTGCGGCAATGACATAAATGTGGCCAGAAATGTAGGGTCTTGTGTTTCATATAGAACATTTATCGAGTTTGTTACTTAAGTCTTTCGTTTAATAACATGTCGCTCTAATTTGTCCAACGGACTTATTTTTCTACATTGGAAATATTATTCTGTCAGTTGTTTCAGATTCTTCAGATGAACTACATTAGATCGAAATTGAACTACCCTTAACTTCTACTGGACTTTTTACAGAGCATCGGACAGAAATGTTCGTAACTTTAATTTCGGAACATATGCATTGTCCAATTGTATTACAGTGTTAAAATATATAAGGATTTAAAATTCAAATCGGCAATTATCGTTTCAAATTGCAATATTTCGAACTAACGAAATGTTTTTTCGGAGGTGATAATTCTTGCCTGTGACGCAGCATTTTGGAATGAAAAGACTAACGGTTATCAACAATCAACCATCAGCCACCAAGCCTCCGATCTTCAGTTGTTGTTATGGCCCCCTCACGCCATTGACAGACTATCTGCATTGCATTAATATCTAATTAACGCTGATTTCTCTTTCTGCTCGAATTTCGTTTCTTCTTGTTTTGTTGGCGAGAGTTTGTGTCGAGCATTTGTTATTTACATTTTCAACGGTTTACCGTCGATGACATCGACGGATGATTTGTAGCGTGAGGCTTCTGCCGAAAATATGCGGGTATATCTGTAGGTCTAGGTCTAGGTCAACGATGCTTCACTTTGTTATCGTCGCAAAAGGCCGTTCACAATGCGGAAGTTTACGCGAATTTCCAAAAGAGAAGCACGATTGATAGTATTGGCTGATATAACTGTAACGCCGACATCGGTTAGTCTTGAATTAATTATTAATATTCAAAAATGTGTTCTTCGTGTGCATGTTTCTTTTGTTTTGCGTAGTGAAATCGAATGATATCGTTGCGAAGCGGAAGATACCTAGATAAATATTGAACCATTGAATGAAATTGGAGATTGAATATTAAAATTTAAAATTTGTTTATAAATATAGGAATTTGCAGATTTTGATATGAATAATGTCGGCAATGTTTAATCAAATCGAATCTGGTGTTATCGGAAATTGAAACACACAACGCCGTTGTTCCTGTCAGTGAAACGCTATATTTTGTTTCCAGTATAGAGTATGTTTAGTCCATTACCGTAAAGTATTGATTTCCATCCAAATTAGATGATTCTAAATTTTAGAAAACTTATTGTTTTTAATTTTATTTTCAAAATTCTGAGTTTGGTGTCAAATACAAATTCAAACTACATGTAGTTCAATTACAAATAAACAGACATGAATTAAACTAGCACAAGTTCACTGGGCCTGTATTTATGCAGTTTCCTCTCCAATAATTTTACCGGTAATTGAGTCTAGTTCAATGCGTAGATGTAAATATTATATTTTATTAATCTCATAATATAGAAATCTCATGGGCCTATTGATGCTCTAAAAGGGTTCAATTTAAATGCAGTGTG